ATTTCCAAATAGAATTCCGTTCCAGTTCGCTGTATTTTAAAACCAAGTTATTTATAAAAATTTTGATTATAAAGAAAACAATTTATTTTATTATTATAATTACATCGCTTCCTTCTGCATTTTGCCCCTTTTTTGTAACCTTTTCGACTGAAAGGTTGTCTGCCACAACCTTACTCCTTGTTAATCTACCCATTATGTGTTATGTCAAAAATGAAATGTTTTAAAAACGATTTATGTACCAAAGTACAAATACGTACGTACAGTCACACGATATCAGATATGAATATTTGGCAAAATTTTTGGCGACTAAAGCTAGGTGGAAAAGTTATGTTCTTGATGCACTTATGTGTATATAAAGATTAAGCATCTAAAACAGATTTTTTATACTAAATAGAGTGTACCCCTTACGTAGTAATTCACTATATCAGATATCGAGCTTTATTACTTTAAACCTGTCAAAAAACCCAGGGGTCTTATATAAGGAAGGTCTATTACTAAGAAGGTGCGAAAACCTAAAAACATCAATATGTTTATAATATAATTTATGTTTATAGACCCGAGTTTGCTTTTTACAAGCATCTAACTATATAGCAAAGATAATAAATACATAAATAAAAATAGAATAATAAAATGAAATAACTAAATAAATAGATAACTTAAAATAAGTAAATATATAACTTAGTAGAATAAATAATAACATAATAAAATAAATAAACTAAGTTAGGAAAATAAAAATCTATATCTATATAGCACGAAGCAGGGTTGAATATATTATGTGAACATTAGTATTTATTTTACACCTCCCTCTTCTAAAAAAAACGAAGTCCTCCGAGTGATACCAGCGCCTATTTGTGTCACTTTCCTTCTAAGCCGCACCTTTTATAAATAAATTAATAGGTCTCAAGCGGGTCTCTTGTGGTACAGCTTTAAGCGATTTGTATTGATTAGGATTTTTCCATCTTCTGTTCGTAGTTTGTACGTTCCCGGGGTCCCATGATCATAAATAAAGTAAGGGCCTTAGTGCTACAAATCGTCAAAAATTTTGCAATCGATTAGTTGTCAACTTTTCGATTATTCGATTTTTATTCGATTTTAATATGAGTTGCCAAAAATTTTTCAATCGATTAGTTGTCAACTTTTCGATTAGTTGCGATTTTCGATTTGTAGCACTAAAGGGCCTTTCCATTTCTCCCTTAGTTTGTCGCCATATACTCTGAATTGTATAGTAGGACCTGATCCCCGATTTTGAACTTCACAGATCTTATATCGCGATTGTGGTATTCTTTTTGCTTTTACTGAGCCTTGTGGATATTATTCTGGGCTTGAAGTCTCTGTTGGTGCAATTGTTCTGTTATTTTATTGCTGTGTAATTCCAATGATTGTTCTAAGGGTGGTTCTAACATGTCTTCTTCTGGTTGCAATTGTAGGTCCAGTGGAAGGGTAGCAGGGCATCCATGCATGAGATAGAATGGGTCATATTTGGTAGTGCGGTTCGGGAGGGTACAATAAGTGAATAGGGCGGCTGGTAATAGGGTATCTCAGGTGGTTTTATAATCACCAACTAATTTCGCTAAAGTAAAACAGAGGTTTTGTTGAATCTTTCTGTGAGACCATTCATCTGAGGGTGGTAAGCAGCGGCTAAATGATGGTGGGTAGTCATGATCTTACATAGTGCATCTATGATTTTGTTACAAAAGGAGCGTTCTTGATCAGAAAGAAGGGTCTTCAGGCAACTATCATCAGGAAATTTTTAAATAAGATGCATATTGATTACTAGCTGCAGGGTTAATTGGCATTGATTTATATCAATTATAATTGATTGCAATCATTTAAATTTAAATGATTACAATCGATTGTAATCAATTGCAATCATTTAAATTTAAATGATTACAATCGATTGTAATCGATTGCAATCATTTAAATTTAAATAATTACAATCGATTGTAATTGATATAAATCGATTGCAATCATTTAAATTTAATGATTACAAGCGATTATAATCGATATAAATCGATGCAAATTAACCCTGCAGCTATTAATCGATATGTATCTTATTTAAAAATTTCCTGATGATGATGACATATAATATCTTCATAAGTTACAGACCATCAGGCTCTGAAGTGGCTTTTGAATAACCCACTGGCAGACTGGCGAGATGGGTTATAATTGCTGCCAAGTATCCATGCATGATTCGCTACAAGAAGGGTACCACACACAATAACATGGACACCCTATCTCAAATTCTTCACAAACCCCTGTGAGGAAGAGAAAAATGAAAAGTCAAAGATAAATATAAAAAAAAAAAAAAAAAATTTTTTTTTTTTTGGGAAAGCATAAACACAAAATATATTAGTAATATAATTCAATTCAACAAACTTATAAGCTTCAGACTAAATCCAGCCCCAATTCTGCCCAGGTTACTGGTATCCTGGCATTATATACATTATACAGTTAAAAATAACATAAGATAAAAATAAATATGGACTTATAGCAATATCAGCAACTTAAGACATACTTGGAAACTACTAAAATGCCAACCAACTTGGATTAGACACAACAAAAAAAATTCAGAAAGCAGGCTATCTATTATGTTGTTTAGAATGATCTATTATATTATAAAAATAAGAAAAAAATAGATCATTGCTAAGAGTTGTTAGAGAAAATGAACTGAAACAAGTATTATATAGGCTCTACTCAGATGTAATGATCAGACACTTTAGAGTAGAGTCCACCTACAACAAGGCCAGAACTAAGTACTTTTGGCCATGAATGTATAAAATTATTAATGAATACATACAAACGTGTGATATATATCAATAGCAGGGTGCTCCAAAGCCACATGATAAGTTACATCCTATTTGAGTAGAAGCCTCATTCAACCAAGTAGGTATCAATATAATAGGTCCCTTCAAAGATATTACTAAAACAAGAAACTATTATATTATTGTAGCTACGGAATACCTGACAAAATAGCCCAAAGCATGTTCTATACCTAATATGATAGCACTAACTATTGTCTAATTCATTTAAAAAATAGAATTTAATATAAACAATTATTCTATATATCACTTTTTGTGATATGGCTACCTTACTAGTAATTTATTTTTTAAAAATTTTTTTTTAAAAAAAAAATTTATATCAATATATTAATGTTAAAAATTCTGATCTTCAACACGTTTGTCTGTGATACAGTTCTTTTATACAGTATTTGATCTGCATTATATTTGAGAGGAGTCTATTTATATATCAGATTGAAATACATATTATAAATAATAACAAAGACAAAATAGACAAGATAATAGAACTTTATATTGTTTGTATTCTTTACAATAGTATATGC